GCGAAACACATTTGACCTCCCTTAAAATGCTGCAAACTATGAGGTCTGTGCATATGAAACGTATTGTATTCACCCTTCATGCCGAGGCACATGCATCGATGGAGCCCATGCATTGCCGTCAGGTACCCCTCGTCCCTAAGATCTACTGCTGTAACAACCACGCACACATACTGCTAGTAGTCATAAGAGCTGTAATTCCTGTGACCTCTGGTGTCCTGTTCGCGCCAGTTGCACCGCAAACGCTTCCACATGAACTGTTAAACTGTTTAAAATTTTCGTATTCTTAAGTATCGCGCGTGTGTATGCTTTGAAAATACAGGAGATGGAAAAGGTACGCTTACAGCGCTAGCCGTCAGCGATTTCTGGCTTACCAGGGTCTCAAGATCTAGGACCTCTTTTCCGAAAGCACTGAAAGGAGTTTTGCAACGTTATGTAATCTTTTCGGGGACTTTCCATGGACCTGCCGGCGAAGTAAGGGAATAATATGCGCACGCCGCCGAATAAGTAATTATCAGTAAACAGTTAACCTGCAGGTATCACGTTGAACTTCTTAATGCAATGCCAACATAAACCAAACAGGACAAGCCTACAACATGACTTCCAAAGGGTGGCATGTATGTTAGAAGCGCCCTGCAATCCGCTAAGGTACAGCTTGTTAGCTATTTTGACGGAACAGTCTTTTTTGCGTTCTTTTCCGAGTACCTCTTACACTGCTTGTCCTGCGCATCCTTTACATGTACTACGGCTAAGGGATCCCTTCCGGATGATGAAGAATGTGCTTTATGCTGGACCAATTACACATCACGATCAGCATCGATTAAGCGGCTCCAGGAGCTGGTACCAGCTGGTACCGGCCGGTGCTTAGGGTCCGATCCGCCGCCGGGAGGACGACTTCCTGAGGCAAACACGACGGACATCCCGAACGGTGCTTACATCCGTGTTATGGAAAATTGCTCTTACGTGTGTGGACCGGACGGATGGACATGAGGCAACGTTTTGCATCACTTGTTTCTTGGCCGCAAGCAGCAATGTAGTGAAGGACACGGACGCGCATGCACAGGCCATGGAATGGTATGTCTAAATCATGGATGGCGACGTTCAACTCTCAGAATGGTGATTTCTGCCTTTGGGTTCAATTCTGAACCTGGAATGCTGCTGGCTCTGCCCGTACCGGAAAAGTGCTTTCCGGTACGGCGGTGTCAGGAGGTGGTATCTACGTCGTCTTAGGGGCAACCCTAAGACCAAGGGGATGAACGAATAGAGATATACTTTCTGTTTCTTGGCTGCAGCAAGTGTTGTCCTGGGCGCAACGTTGATGGCCTGATGCCGACGCGACCTCCTTTACGACAATGCTAGGCAAACGCAGCGGATGTTCATGAATTACTTAAGCGTTCATATTACTCGTCACAGCTTCAACGGCACTGTACTGGGCGGATGTAAGACGTGCGTTGGTGGACGCGATGGCCTTACGAAGGGGGAGAAAGACGCTTAGGAGATGCTTGGATTGTTATGTACAAGTCACAGACGGGGACGTTTAACTCTATGAATGCTGAGTTTTAGCTACTAGTCGGGTTTTTTGAACTTCGCTGTTGTTGGTTCCGCCCGTACAGGAAAAGTGTCTTCTGATACGGCGGTCACAGCAGGTAGTATCCGCGTCGACTTGTATGCAAACCAAATACAACGAAACCAGGGGATGATATGACAGTTTTGGAATGCTTGTTTCTTGGCCGCAAGCAGCAGCATACTTAAATCGCGTTGGGCCATTTGCCCAGGCTGCCGCAAGGACGACAAGCCAGGCTAATGCAGCTGGTGTCCATGAAGGGTTCATTGCGTGCTGAATATGAAAGATTGCTACAAAGACTCTGCCCTGACGAACGTAAAATGTGATGTTCGTAAGGAAGAAAACAGACGCATATCCAAGGCATGGAGCTGTTTGTAGGGAAACCGTAAATGAAGGTTTAAGGAACTGAACGATGAATTCTGCCGGTGTGGTCGGTTCTGGATCTCTTATGTTGCTCGTCACGCTCGTACAGAAAATGGGCATTTGTTGCAGGAGGGAGTCTGTGTGTCAAGTCGTAGTCGAACCTTTTTCAAAGGGGATGAGCACACACACAGCTTGCATTCCATGTTCACTAACGTCAGCCCACAGTAAGCTACTGGGCTAGACTTGGAGGGTCCGACCGGGGCAACTCGTTGCTGTGGACTTGTAGGCAAGTCAAGTAGGGCTATGGAATGCTAGGACAATGTTATTATGTTTGTGTTATAGGCTTGGGTAGGAATTCTTAAGCAATACGTTGAGTGGCCCTCCGCCGGCGGGAGGACAACAATCCCATGCAAACAGGACGGATGTTCCGAATGTTGCTTACATTCATGTTGTCGAAGCTCGCGACGACGGCTCTGGACAGGACGGATGTCAAGTGTGCGTTGGTGGACGTGATGGCAACGTAGTGAAGGACACGGACGCGCATGCACAGGCCATGGAATGGTATGTCTAAATCATGGATGGCGACGTTCAACTCTCAGAATGGTGATTTCTGCCTTTGGGTTCAATTCTGAACCTGGAATGCTGCTGGCTCTGCCCGTACCGGAAAAGTGCTTTCCGGTACGGCGGTGTCAGGAGGTGGTATCTACGTCGTCTTAGGGGCAACCCTAAGACCAAGGGGATGAACGAATAGAGATATACTTTCTGTTTCTTGGCTGCAGCAAGTGTTGTCCTGGGCGCAACGTTGATGGCCTGATGCCGACGCGACCTCCTTTACGACACTGCTAGGCAAACGCAGCGGATGTTCATGAATTACTTCAGCGTTCATATTACTCATCGCAGCTTCAACGGATGTAAGACGTGCGTTGGTGGACGCGATGGCCTTACGAAGGGGGAGAAAGACGCTTAGGAGATGCTTGGATTGTTATGTACAAGTCACGGACGGGGACGTTTAACTCTATGAATGCTGAGTTTTAGCTACTAGTCGGGTTTTTTGAACTTC